TTGAACAAACAAATAAATAATCTGTTTTTAACACGCAATGCACTTAGCAATACCGTCAGTATTTTACATGTACGAGAAATAATTCACCTGATAAAAATCAAACAGCTCATCGCTTCGTTTGTCAACTATCTTTTTGAGTGCTACACGCGTTCCTGTCCAATCTGCTGTACGTGTGCATCCATGGTGTAATGAGGTCATTTCTCGTACATTCATCAATGTGGAATACTCTATACATTGTATATACGCATCATCCATATTCTCTGTATTACTCCACGATTCCATAATGAATAAATCCAACGTTTTGTTACCCGTAGTCCAGTCAAGATGTTGTGGGGCTTTACATTCAAAGCAGAACAGATTTATCCTGGTGTTTAATTTATCTGTACATGCCAGACATAATCCATCCGTATAGCCAACTTTTAATAGACAATACTTTCGTTTGATTGCATCATATGTAAATCCGATGGTAATCCAAACATCGGTGGTAAGAATATCTGGATGCTCATCACGTAGCTAGTGGAAGTGATACATAATATATTTGTTTAAACATTCAATTAATATGACACACAAGCAAATGGCTTACCTCGGTATAATATAAATTATGTGTTTTGTCTGTTATCTCAAGTGGAATCAATTCAACACATGAATAAGTAGGTAGACTATACAAGTGTCCGTGTCCATATCTAAATCATCAATACAATCATATGAAATCCATTCTAAATAAGCTTGATTTGGTGAGGTTGTTTGTAATTGAGAATTCTTAATCAACTCATCAAGTTGCTTATTATTGCTAGTCCATCCATCGGATAGTTGTTTATGTCCACGGGACTACATCGGAGTAATCCACATGCGAAGCAGAAGCCATATCGAGAATAACAATGGTAAAAGCGTCTATCAGCAACCATGTAAAACCTGCCTTCATACTTGGTAAATCCTTTTATGAGTTCGTTGCGATTTTTAAGTCATTGCTGTGTTCGTGTGTTGGAAGCGAGCATATCCTGGCAAACTCGCTCACAAGGGTTGCTCCACACCCTTTGACACTTCCAAGTAATAGCATCATTATCATCGTTTTTTTTACTCTACCCTCATTTGTTGGTTTGCGAATAGCGTAGTAGATGTCGTCGATTTTACTTGACTTTATTTTGATGACTTGCGAGCAAGGAATCCACTCAAGTTTGCTATTACTACAGTTGGAGGATTTAATCAAATTGTCAATTGCTTCGTTTTGAATGCCATTAACAGACGACATGGCGGTAGTGTTGCTTTTTCTTGTTTGCTCTTTTACTCAATTTGGAAATTGATTCTATAGCGTAGCGATAAGCTAGTCTCGGGTTTTGATTATATCAGCTAGGACGCAGAGTCTTAACATTTGAGGGTAGATAGCTTATATGTTATTGGCTCACGTGCGATCTAAAAAAAGCGACGATTGGTTCACTTAAACAAATTAAAGAGAAGTCATGAAGGTTGCTTGTCGGACTTTGAACACTCGACCTCCCAAACAGCCGTGCTCCTAATGCACGTTAAAGTGAGCATGAAATCGTTCCAACACAGAGACTAGTATATAAGGGTTCCAGTGACTCGGATCATATTCGCTAGCAAACGCGGGTACCATATTCTGTGAGAGTACAGACGTTAAAATATATTCGGGCGAATGGGAATGGTATGTTCTTTTACGCTGTATTATGTTTCATAATCAATTTAGTTATATTAATCATGAGATACGTTCAGCATGGTCAGCTGTCGTCAAGAATCTAATCGGTGAAATGCTTAGACGCATCGCTTTGGTACCCACCAAGTTGCTCAACACACGGGTACGTGTAACTAGTTAGCATTATGATTATGACGAATAACCCCACACAGATAACAGACATAATCTAAAGAGCAGTACTACTACGATCACGACAAATTATGTGGCTATATTCGCCTAGTGCTGTAGTGGTAAAATACAAATATACAACTGAGGTCGTAAAACTTCTCGTAGCACAAAAAACGTCTAATCATATCGCAGGTTATTTGTATCTAGTGATTTATTACAAAGGGATTGGTCATCTACCAACGACGATTGAAAATTCAATGAATGGCATTCGAGTTCATATGTAAGTATTCCTTCTTTGGGAATAGTTGTCTTTTGATCCTTAATACTAACGTAACGTTTGCGATTATACCCGTGTCCTGGCATGGTCACCTAATGCTTCTGTAAGGGATTTATGCCGCTATCCATTATGGTGTTGGGAAGCAAAGCTGACATTATTACTTTGTGGAGGTTGTTATAATAAACATTATGATCACGTTTCTTTTATATCCCACACACATTGCACAGTTATACTATTGATGCTAATCTTGTTTACAAGATTGATGCGTGTCCTGGATAATTACTTTGGAATGGTCGCGCTGGTGGACGACTGACGAGGATACATGTAAGTTCGGCACCGATACTGTGATAGTAATAAGGTCTCAGTGGGCTTGCCATAAGTCTGTTCGGCTGTTTAGTTACTTCACTGCTGATAGTTGGATGTCTTGATGGATCTTATTCATTGTGGAAAGTAACAACTTTGCTATATAGAAGATCTGAATTACCTGATCAGGAGGAAGACGAGCTTGTAATTAATGCAGAGAAAGGAGCTGTCTTCCTTGAAGCAGACAAACGAGAGCCTTGTTTAATAAATGGTTTAAAGATAAGGTATCCAGATTATGTATTTCATCATACGACTAAACATATTATATTGACCTTTGTCTTTCAATTCACAGCGTAATCAACGCGATAAACTCGTCATGAGCAAAATGTCTACGCTACAGGCGGAAGCTGTCTTTATTTCCATCGTGAAATTGATAATTCTTGCATTTATATGGGCGCCAGCGCTTCCTGTTTATGACAACTTTGTCATGCCAATTACTTTTGATTTCCCTGACACTGCCGGTAAAAAATTGATAATTCATTCTCCTTCTATGGTTTTTTCCCATATAACTTATTGCTCTACTGGAAACCTTTTAGGCATAAGCTGGAATAATGATGGTACTCAACTGTGCGCCTTCAGCTTGGAAGGAAAGCAATGAATTCAGATTCTGGCATATCGATTAATAAAACCGCTTGAGGGAAAATGTAGAAGATCAGCAAAAGACGCGTTTCGGAAGGTGATGGCCGACGAAAAGGATTCCGAGAATGAAAGTGAAGATGATGAAGGTGATGGTTCTCCACTACCCTTTAATATAGATGGACTTGACAGTAACTTTGATGGGATAACGAATGAAGATGACGCAGTTGTTGCTGAAGAGGAGGAGGAGGAAGAAGATAGTTTTAGACTTGGCACAATTACAAACAAAACCAGCAAATCTAAAAACATTGAGAACGATAGAACAGATTGCGAAGAGACTATGGCCGAAGACAGTATTTCAAAAAGTCATGAAAATAAGACAGCGTTACAAATAATAGAGCATGGACATGGATGAAACAAAGACGTATACGACGGATTTGTTAATGCAACCGCAACTGCTTGGAATAGACACATCGGCGAATGGAATATTTGTGGCCTTTGTTTTCGCGTACGTTTATTTTGACTTTCTCGTAAATTGCAAGGCGTACTTGTTCTGATATACACTCACTGGACAAAAGTCTACGTAATTTTTGTCGATCACATAGTAAAACATATGAAAAATCTATTTTTT